CTAGTGTACCCTCTCTCTAAATATATATGTCACATTTCTCAGATATATGTGTTCTCTCATGCATACATGATCTCTCATACACTATCACTTAGTGACAACGACAAAAAATAAATTTAATGGTTGGAAAAAACCTTTAAAAACATTGTCAAACTAAATGTCACATTTTCTCTCTAACTCCTTGAGTGGTCCATTTAAGAATCCATTTTAGCTACTCTTCCAGATAATCTTATCCCTAAGAATCATACATTTCCCCATAGGTAGAAAACAAATATAATTTGTCACATGTTGTGCTATACAGACATTTCTGCAGTTGCTGTACTACACTAGAATGTCTGAAGGGGAAGACACCCCAGGTAGTTGGCTGCAGACACATCTCAGCAACATGGCATGTAGTTAAGATTTGACACATATAGTCTTTATAAATCCAATGTCTATGAAGTCAAACAAATCTCCTTCTTATTTATAGTAACAGGCAAGAGCAGATCTCTGCCGTCTTGTTACACAGATGGTTGTAACATTTTTGTAGTTAACTTACAACCACTGATGCCTGAGGAATAGACACACATCTGCCCCAAACTGCCAGTCCTGTAGGCTCTTCTTTTTAACTTTAGCAACCAAAAATATAGTTGAAATACATGCAACACTGTCACCCCAAAAAAGCTACCACAACAAAAAAACCCATACAAATTTGCATTAAATATATTATTAATGTTACAGATTGGACAGTGTTCGCACACACATTACAGCAAAAATAACAGTAATACCAACTCTAGTCACCAAAACTAAAATTTTAGAGAAAATTAATAGCCTCAGATCCCCTATACTGAACTTAGTTTGGAAAAATGTTTGGAAGAAAACTCATTAGAAGCTTCTAAATTTATGTTTTATTAAAAACATTTCAAAAAAGCCTCATACTTCCTACAAACTACTGTCCATATGCTCTTTTTTGCTGCTTGATAAAAAGTAAAGGCATGGCTGGCTCATCTTGAAAAAAGGAAAGCAATTGCTTAGGATTTTCTTCCCCTACTTGAAGACACTACTCCATATCTGCTGTATTTCCACACATCACCTGAGCCTTTAACAGGAAATGTACATGGAAAAGAGCTAGCTATATTAAATTAACTGCTCCCCATTTTAGACACTGGCTGTCTAGAGAAGAAATTCTCTAAACAGGTGACTTAAAATCAAATGCTTGCTTTTGAATAGATGCAGGAAAGAAAAGCTGTAACTGAACCTTGTACCTATAGGAGTTGTTAACTAAGTTTAGTGAAAACTTAAATAGCCTGATGAAATTCTGACCCATGGCAGCTTGGGCAAATATGACTTATTCATAAATGTGTTCCATAAATAATAGATCTAGACAGATTCTTGTCTTTCTCTTCTTGCTCCCCAAAACAGAAGAGAACAGAGCTTGTGAGAAAGTGGATCTGCATTTACAGAACTGGTCTGACTACAGAGGTGAAAACATGCGCCTTAGAATTTGGTTTTGAAAACAGATAAAGGAGAGGACGAATGAACATTATGCATACAGTTACCCAATTAATTTCATTTTGGATTTGCCTTCCCCTGGAATCTATTTAATTTTTTGTGGAGTGGAGCACCAGAGGAAAATAGAAGGGTAGTTCAACCTTTTATTTTTGCTATGTATTCTTTTTATTCTTTGCTAGCTTTCTATCTTTATAGCTGCCTTATAAGAAATTCTGTACTTTCTGCTACTTGCTAATTTCTACTATGAACACAGATCTACAGATTGGGAATTTGAAGAATTTAATAATAAAATTTGCTTTCAAGGTTGAAAACTTACCCCAATGTACTCTTTGCCACATAACAGAATTTATTTCTCCAAGATTCAGATCCATGAAGTCACACAAGCTGACCAGTTCACTTCCAGTGGCACATCAGCGACCCTGTCATGTTTATTAATACTTTTGAGATAATCTACTTAGCTAACCAAATCACTGTCTAAAATGAAAAGTACATAACTGCAAAAACCATCAAAACAAGCACAAACTAATGTAAAAAAAAGAAGTCATACATTTATCTAAAGCAAAGATCCACAGGGCTGTTAGATTAACAACATAAAATGAACACCTCTTCATAAGCTCTGCTGCAGTCTTAACATGTCACCCTGGTCCTGCAAACCGTGTATCTTTCAACCCGAGTTTGCCCCAACAGCGTACATCAACTGTATCATTTACATGGACATCTACTTAATTTAATTCTGTATTTCACTGAGCAAAACCACACTGAAAGGGATGGATATTTGCATTGCATTAAAAAGACTGATTTAAAATAATCTTTAATGATAAAAAAAACCCAGACTACCCTAAATTGCCAAACATGTTTTATGTTACTTCAGATTATATTAATATACAGCACATAGATAAGAATGGCAAAGAAAGATTTATCTTGTTCACTTTCAGGAATGCAACTATCATAATCTCCAAAACGTAGTTGCTCTAAAAGAAATTCCGGTTGATCAATTAGATCTTGCTCCTTCCACAAAATAATTATATCAGGGCCTGTCATATTCCCCTAGAAGAACACAAGTAGTGTCAGAGATTTCTTCTTAAATAAATGTCACAATTCCTTATTATTCAAATGCAATTGTTAGGTCCCAAGTTAAGTCAAAGAAACTTTCTGAAGAGAGCCAGAATAACAACAGATAGAAAATTAGGTAGGAACCCACTTTGCAGGATGGTGTTGCAAGACCACCAGTATCATTTGTAGCTGCATAGAAAGGGGAAACATATTGTGTTAAGAAGGAATCATCTTTAACATTATTTTGCTGTGATTATTAGTATCTGAGTGATGGATGAAAATTTGAGGCAAAACAAATTATTTGTTCTTCTGCCTTTACTAAATAGCAGTCAGATCTCTCTTTTCAAAATCAGAAGAGAAAAATCACTGTTTTTATTTGGTTGAAGTCCTTCAACATAAACATAAGGAACTAGGAGATTTATTTATTTTAGTAGTTATACTTTCTGCTTTTCTTCACCTAAATCAGAATATTTCATAGCCCATTTTTATAATTTGGAAACTGATACTGAGAATTTATTACAGTTCTCACATGGAAACTAAAATTAGATTACACTGAATTTTTAAAGCAGTTTATTATATCAGCCTTGTCACTTATTACCTGGATTTTAAATGAATATAGTGCAAGATCATAATGAAAAATATATTAAGAGTCCCCTCTTAAAATGCTGGTACAGTATACTGTTCATGATTCAAAAACCTGATAATCTCTGCCATATTTACATATTCTAAAATATTAAATAAGACAAATGCTATCACTGTCCCGTTTTCAATCCTTGTTGTGAGCAGAACAGCAGCAGCCCATAAGCCACTGCCTGCAGCATGACCACTCTGCTTCCAAACCACTTTTCTGTTCTGGATTAATGCATCATCTTTTCTACAGTATAACCATTGCTACTGCAGCAGAGAACGAGCAACATTTTCCAGTAGAACTATTTGGTTCTGACAGAGGAAAGGTTGTCCTAAAAACTTACAAAGCTGTCTTAAATTCTACTAGCTACTAATAATTCTACAGAGACAGCTAGGAGGAGGAAAAAAACCCACCCCAAAAAAACCAAAGAGAGGTATTTAATTTTTTTTTCCCCTGAAAGTAATCCTGAGTCTTTAGTGCATGTCCCCCATATGCTAAGAATCCACCACAAGTAAGGAAACCAAACGGGAGGCAAGATAAATGGAAAGATTATGTGGTCATATATATTAGGGACACAGTCATGGCATTTTTAATTTCTTTGTTCTCTAAGCTATAAAAGATTATTACAACCCTGGGATACAGGAGAACAGGATGAGGTACAGACAGAAATCTGAAAAAGAATAGGAAAGGAGGGGGTCTGGACGACTGAAAAGAACGTATGGAGCGCTTGCAAGAACAAGCTAGTATGGACAGACAGAAAACGAAGAGATGGCAGCAAACAGAAAAAAAAATAAAAATCAATAGTTGAAAAAAAAAAAAAAGAGCATACAAGACTTGCTGCTTCAATATATGCAAACTCTGTTCCTATCAGGTGGTCAATGCTCAAAAAAAGCAAACAGAATTTTGCCCAGCCAGGACTCTGCAGTCCAAATGAAGTTAAACTGCATTTTGCCTTTCACTACTGACAAGACGTAGCCTGGCTTATTAGGATTGCAGAGTTGCCTCTCATTCATCTCCCTACTTTATCATCTACCTCCCCAACCATGCCTAAGCTCCTTCCAGTGCCTGTTACACCGAATGTGGAGCGGAAGACAGAGCAAGAGCATAGACGAACTTTCTGGTACCAAAAAGAAGTGATCTCTAAGGACATCTAATCCCAATCACAGTACAAGGCATTATCATCTGGACACTCTGGTCAGAACAGTCACTTCGTATTGGTGGAAATATTCCATACTAGTCTTGCTGTAGCGGGTCCCAGCTCTTCCAGAGAAAGCCGCTGCTTCTCTGAGAAGGCTAGTGGTGCCTGGAAGCTGTTAATAGCTCTCTGGTTACTAAGATCTTCAGTGAAGATTTGTCTGTTTATACAAGTTCATACAAGTTAAATATTACTGAGAAAGGTAAAATGGTAAAACCAAAAAATACACCTATTACATGGCACTACAGAATCCACATCTGTAGTCTACATTCGTATTACTGAATAACCTCTCTCCTCCTCCCCCCCCCCCCCCCCCCCCTTTTTTTTTTTAATATGGTAAGACAATTCATCCAAGTTAGAGCAGATAACAGCCAAAGCAGCCCACACACATATGTACTAGGCTTAAATTCTTTGGAAGACTATGTTGTTCAAGCTTTCCTTTTATTTATCCAAAATGGCACAAGCAAAAGATGTTATAAAAAAACTTGACAGAATGCTTGGGGAGGGGGAAGGGGTGGTCATTTTCCTAAGGAAAGAATATTTCTTTCAAACAACCTAGTGTCATTTTTACGTTTACACAACACAAGAGGTACAGTAGAGCATACCACATACTGACAGATTAACAGGACCTCCTACCTCGACTTCATCCTCTCATGCATTCTCCCATGCTGGATACATTGTTGGTCCAATTCATCATTCCGTTTCTGCATCTTCTCCAATCTGCCATGAAGATACTCTTTTTCCTGACTAAGCTGGTTGACTTCAGATCTACGAAAGTAAACCACAGTGATGATGGATGTTGTCAGATTTCATCCTGCAGCGTGCCATCAATATGTGGCTTCAGCATTTATAAGATTTCATACATGTATATGTAATGCATAAACAGGCTATTACTAGAACTTAGAGAAACAAAACACTGTTTCAAATAATCTTAAGACAAAAGAACATGATGCTGAAAGGTATCTGGTAAATAAGCCAATGGCAATCACTCAGTCATAGGTTGGCTATGCTAATTTCAGCCTAATTTAAACAAGCATGTCATTTGGCTTTATGCATTCATGTTAAATAAGATCAATAGATGTAAATTCATACTTGTTAAGCAAGAATTTGGCCAGCATTTTGAAAACGCATTTCAAGTTCTTTATTAGTAAAAGCTAACATCTGATTTAAAAAATGGCTACTAAAAACTTGTTCAACCTTTACTGCACTGTACAGGTTGAACCCTCAATAGTGGTACTGTTTTAGAAACTTTATTAACCTAATATGCCCAAAATACCATTACAGTGGTTTTTAAAAAAAACCCAACACATTAAGAGAAAAATTAATAAACCCTTAAGAAACATGGGACAAATCATACAGGCACACCCTAATCTACATAAAGCTTGGCAAAGCCTTTAAGAAAATTAGTGACTTCCAGCAATTCTTATTCTTCACGGGTGAGCAGAGACACCAGATCCATTAATGACCTGGGACTGCCACTTGCTACATCTCTAACCATCAACCCATGGAGAAAGAGGCATGAGCTGTTTCTTAATCTCAGGAAAAGATCTCAGATTAAATTGCGATAAAATATACATTATGCACTTGTACAGTTTAACTCTTTGGAAAAGGTTAATGAGAACATGCCAGAATCTGCTATACCATCAGAAAGTAAGAATCAAAAGCAAGCAAATTTGTTTTATGGCATCTGCCACTCCAGATCTTGAGGTTAAAAAGCTTCAGAGATATCTTTAAATCACAAACTTAAATATGCTGTAGTTACAGCAGAAAGATATTTTACCTTCCTGGCTGTTGTAGAATGCAACAACAACTGACATTCTGAAAAATACAACAAAGTGCAGGGGGGAAGGAATACCCCTTCCTCAAAAACATGCTGCTACACTGACAAGTCAAATCTGGAAATGACAACATAATCTTTTCATGTTTAGAGAACAATACATGGTATCATCTGTGAATCTAAAAGAACTTAGCAAGGGAAACTTTGGAAGAAGACTGTGTGTAATTGAATTCAGATGGGGAGTTACAGTTCTATTAAGGAACATCACTGACAAACCCATCAGAATTGTGCTGATGCATTTGTACATCAAACTTAAATGCACAAGAGTTTCCTGGGTGGGCACATAACAGCGGGCAGGATGTTACAGGAAGGTAGCTGAAGTTGAATCTTTACACTGATCATTTACAAGTAATACAAATACAAGTAAAGAAATACAAGTAACTTAAATGTCAGCATTAACAAAGTGTTATTAGCTGGACCGATATCACACAGTATGAATGCAGTCTGTACCTGACACTGATGCTGTAAGAAAGACAATCAGTGGACAAAAGCAAAGGCCCACTCCAGAGCAGCTCAGCAGAGACAAACTCAACAGTAACAAAGCCCAACCAAGTGGTAACGGACCAAACTCAAGATTGCATTCCTTTTTTTGCCAGCAAAATCTACCAACAGCATTTGCCATGTGGGAATACTGTAAATTACGTTTGTAGGGCTCCCCAACTGGGGGATCCTGCTTCTTTTTCTGTTATTTGTATGTGGCTGTCTCATTCATTGAAACAGCAGAAGAACTTTCAAGGTGGTAAAAATCTCAAAGCTTTAAAGTGATTTGTTCATCTCCAGCACATTTGAAGGTGCCTGAAAGTCTTTCTGGAAAGACCCAGGAATTCAAATCAACAAACCCCAAAATGTTACTGAAAATTACAATTAATGAAACAAACCAAAATACTGAATTCTCTGAAAACAGGAGCAGCACGATCTCTAATCTCTAAAATACAGCTCTAAAGCCCTGATGCTTTGAATCATTTTACTTGTGTTCTCTTCTCTTAAAACATCTTTTGTAATTACAGTTGAACTCAAGGGGAAAAAAAAAAATCATTCCAGTTAAAATATTATTTACACAATGTCCCTTCCAAGTAAATATCGAAGAGTCTGACCACCCAGATTCAAGTATTTCATTATACGGAAATAAAGATTCCCTCTGCATCTTTATATACCACTCATCCCCCCTCAGTTTCCAAAGATTAAGATAGAACAGTTATTTAAATAATTTCAAAATTGCCCCAAAATCCAACCATAATTGTAATAAGTACTGAATGTGATAGCACATTTATGCTAGGAGTAACAATTCCACCCAGCCAGGGGCAGGACCATGTCTGCGTAAACGCTCCTGCATCACTCTGCTCCCAGGCTGCCACAGCAGGGACAGGGGAGAGAGGGGGGCAAGTGACAAAATAGACAGTCCTGAACTTCAGCCCACATGTAATGCCAGGAACAGAGGTAAATTAGAAAAATCTATGCACTAAGCACTATGTCTGATGGATCCAGAACAACTAAAGGACACAGCACAGACACGCTGATGTTGCTCCACATCAGTCCAACAGATTGTATTGTAAGCTGTGGTGGCCTTAGAAGAAACTGAAGCATGCAGATATTTGGAGAGCTACCATCTGAGCTGAACTCCATCTGCATGGATTTGCACTTCTGCAGGCTCAGGCTGGCCCCACAAGCCATACAGTCATGGGAATGTATCTGTGTGTGCTTCTGAGATCTGATAGACTCAAAAGACCTCTATGAAATCAGTATTATCTTGAAACTGCGCAGAGCAAAGCTACAACATCACATGAAAATGCAAATGTAAAATGCATGCTTGTAAGTAGATGGGTAACAGGTTTTGCCAAATCTTATTTACTTGTCACTGTATTAAAAATAATTGATGATGACTGGGGGGAGGACAGGGACAACAACAAAAAGCCTTTTATACTTCTGGACGCATTCAACTACCAAGAAAGCCTCAACTTCTAGTTAAAAACTAATTTAATTTTTTATCTACCATCATTACTGGAAGAATCTTGGGGAAAGAAAAAAAACACAAAAAAACCCAAAAAAACCCAACCAAAAACCAGGTTCCTCCAAAACATTCAAATACTGTAAGGCAAAGAACCAGCAAATGTTAAATAGTCACAATTTAAAGTCAGCCTTAGGATATTTTTAGGATAAGCTGAATTTTGATCACTAAGGTGGCAATGCTGCCTTTACTTCTCTGAACTATCTTTTGCATTGCAACATTTTTTAAGCACTGCCTTTTCCTACTCCTAAAACCAACTGTTTACTTATACAGCAACTAAATACATACTCTAAAATATTTTCTGCTGACACAGTATTGTTGCATGTAATTTTTATGACATCTTTCAGACAGACTGTTTCACATCTTCGTACAGCTACCTCCAATAAACATTTTACCCCTGGTATTGAGCACAATGACTGCAGTCAACCAAACATGCAGAAAAATAGTTCAGCCGGGTGTGTGTTCTTTACTTCAATTAAACTCACACAGTTGGATGCCTACTGTTGCCAAACCAGTAATACAATTTATACATTATAGTCCAAACAGTAAAACTACACTAAAAGTCATTTAACAATATTTATAACACCATAAAATACAGTGTTAAAATATATGAACTGCAATATGTACCAAAATTATAAAATTTGTTTCTCATCATCAGTGATTAAAACCAGGATCATTGCTCTAGCTTCAATACTCACAACCCTGGTGACAGATTAGAATTCAAATCTTAATGATCAATTTACAATTAACAAGATAGAAGTGAAACAAATTAAACCAACCATTATATATAACGAGACCCAATGGACTCCCATTGTTCCCCTTAATTACAAAACGCAAATCACAAATACACAGTGGGTAGTGTTAAGCATTAATCTACAACCTAGAAACTCAGACTGACAATCAGAGAAAAAAAAAAGAAGAACAAAATAACACAGAAGAAATCAACAAAGGACTATATTTTTAAACATGCCTATGCATACAAAAACCTTCACAGGCACTATCTTCTTTCTGCACAGCTTGAGGGGTTTGTAATTGGTCTGACATTGTCTTTCTGAAGCTTTTCTAATCCCATGTAGGGGCTAGCTCACAAAAATGGTTCCAGCTTACGTATAAACAAGAAAACTTCAGTTTAGATTTTTCAGAAAACCTGTATTAGATATAAAAATACACATAATTCAGAGGCAGCCCACTTAAATTATGCAAATATGTAGTTGCCACAGATAAATTTGAAATGCCTTATTACAAATGGGCCCTTTACTTCCTACCAACCCCCCCAAATTTTATTTAAACTTATTCTTGCATCTGTTATTAAAAAAAGCTTGAGTGTTTTACCAGTTAAATAATGATTCTGTACTGCTAGTATACCATTACTTTTTACCCCTATGGAAACTAAGGCACAAAGATTCTGGAAGTATAGCAAGAAAATACATATTCAAGTCCAAAATTCAGTTTATAAGGCTACTACATCAGAAACATGGTGAAAAACAAACAAACTTTTCCATGCAAATAGGGCACACTGCTGCTTTATGATCTGCTTTTATTAATGTACATGAGAACCAAGTTATAAGATCTTTCAAAAATGATTACTTTTTTTCAGAAGACAAAGCTACAGCATTCTGTCCCAGAATTGTGGGTTTACACTATATCCAGTGACAATGAGCATGAAGATTGTCTTTCAGAGAGATGCTACTGAAAGGTATAGGCTGATCATGTATTTAAAACTTTGCTAAAGTAATTTTCTGCATCTGATCTCTTGATGATATAAATTTCTGAAGCCACCTATTAGTTTTTCATTTTCCACCATCTCCAGCTCCACCTTCTTGTTCTCATTTTCACATGTTTTGTTTGCCCCTACCTATTTCTCCATTCTTGTTACTGACTGCAGCAGCTCCCACTCCAGTGAAGGCAAGCTCAAGCTATTTTAGGGCCATTTCTCAGAACTGCTTTCATACATTCTTCCATACTGTTTCTTGTGCAAAATATACCACTTTCTGGAGATCCAAGAGGGCTTCTTTTCCCTTTTTCAGGTTCTTGACATAGTCAGCTAATGCTGCTAGGTGGAGAAACACTTGGCAATCTCTGCTATTTATTTTCAGAGAATAATGTGTTTTCACAGTATGTTTTCTGTCTTTCCTTCATCCTTTTACAGTTACTAGTCTGTGACTGTGAGCTCTAGCAACAAAGTCTGTGTGCATTTTTATTGCTGGAATAATAATATGATTTGAATCTATTCAGATTTTGTATTACTTTAGCAGAGGAGCTCTGCTTTTTCAGAAGAAAAATTCTGTTTGCTTCTCTCTCAAGTACCCATCACAACATTTGCAAGGGAAGTTTGCTTACATTTCCTCAAGTTTCTCATTTCTCCCCCAAACAGCCTGGATGGGATTCATCTCCCAACTTCAGCCACTTAACAATTAGTCAACACTTTATATTCAGTGGAAAGTAGGATGGGCATTAGAAGTAGTACCTGTGGGAAACACAATTTTTTTTTTATGTATATATCAGTCATCTACTTATATCATTCCCCTTTGACCATTCCTGGAAACAGGATACTGGGATAAATGAACACTCTCCCTGAATGAGTGTTGCCCCTGTTATGTTTCCTCAACAGGATGATTTAATCTGCCCAGCAGAAAAATCCTATCTTGAAAACCAGTTTTACCTTTGCTGAGTATTTTCCTTACTTCACATAAGCCATGCGAGATGAATCCTACCTTCAAGTATCAAATTCACTTTGCATGAAATTTACCGAAGTCACAGAATGCCAACTCACCACTTCAGTCCTGTTCACTACTCTAAATATGAACCCTGCAGAACAAAGACTATTTTCACACTTAAATATGTAAAATCAGATTATTTACTAGCACAGAACTACAAAATTAATTAACTTTTTCTTTTTAAAAAAAGATAGTCCTGTCCTAGAAAACTTTTAAATAGCTTCCAGGTTTTGTTCTATTCGTGAATTTTTAATGGCTTTGTATTTAGACCTGCTATTGATTTTAAGAAGAGCGCCACATAACAAGTGGTGGCAGAATCAGAGCTTCAATGACAAGCAATTTTGACGACAATTATTTCAGAGATAATTATTCAGTGCGTACTATTGTGAATGGAGCTTTAAGTGAATAATTAAACCAACAGACTACAGTTTAAAGAACTTTAAATATTTAGTATTGTTCATATAATTTCTGATAAGCTTGAATTGTAGCTCTGTTAACAATTTTCCACTTTTCATATTAAGAATATGAAGATCAGGAAGAAAACAGTGTGCAGCTTTTACATTGGAATTGTCTAAGACATTTGCGGTAAAAGGCAGAAACAATCTGAAAAGTAGAAAATTAGAATTACCCTGGATAAAGATCCATTCATATTTCTTAAGTGGCATACACTATATTGAGATGATGTGTAATACCTGGGACAAGATGAATAATAATAAATACTAAAATAGAAAAAAAAAAATATACTAACCTGTATTTTTCTGACATTTGTTCCAACTTCCTTGCCAACACACAACATTCTTCCTTTAATTTTGCTATGAATGTATTCTGGGAGGTCAGCAATGAATCCAGTTCATTTACTAGAAATTACAAAGTTATAAAACTAGAAAATTATTTTACAATTATGTACATCTATAGATAATTTAGAAACAATGTTATGCATTCTTTATTTCTTTCCTCTAGATCCTTCTGTGTTTGGTATGGTTTTTAAACTTCAGCTGCTTGGACACAGAATTATAACATCATCATTCACCAAATACAGGCTATATGTCAGAATAAGCCAACCTAAAGTGTGTTACATCAATGTTGCCACTGAATCAGGTCTTGTATGACAAGAATCACCATAAAGACTGCATATCTAATCTGGTGGGTTTGCTTTTTAGCTGGAAATTCATTGACGTTTCTGGAAGGAATAAAATTGGCAAGCCACGCCTTACCAGCCTTTTGCTTGCTCAAATGGTGCAGAGGATACACTGGCAACCCAAACACTCACGCTGTAGACTCATTTCATTCTCTCTTTAAAAAAAAAGTTATTTTATTTATTGTGTCCTGCACTTACTATGATTCATGTATTTTTTCTCTTTAATGATAAGATACAGACTTATTGTCCAGTGACAGTTGCAGTGAAACCATTTTATAAGTTAATTTTCAGTTACTATCAGTTTCAGCTGCACCAAAACTTGTGACCTAGAAATCAAGCATTTTTATTCTTTCAAAAGGATGATACTGCAAAATAGTATTTCTTGATTTCAGCTTTTAAAATCATTCAGAGAAAGAGAGACCATTGTTACCAAATTCCTTGTATACGTGTAGGGTCATAATACACAAGGGTTTCTTTTGCATATAATAAATAATTGTAATTTTCAACTCCTAATTCTACTAGAGATATATAAAAACAAACTCAGCCTTAAAGTTGTTTCCTTTTTGTATACCGGTACAATTTATGCAGTAGGAGGGTAAATTACACATCTCTTGTGCAAAATTATACTTGGTCATATGCAGATGTGCTGGCTAGAGTAGGGAAAAAAGATTCCGAGAGCTTCTTTTCCTTTTCTACTGTGTAGACAGCAGCCATAATGTAGCTGTTTGAATTCCCTGAACACACAGAAAGGTCCTCTGCTACTGTGACAATGCTGCAAAAAAGGCAGAAAATCAGATGGCAGATGTAAATGTGCCTGCTACCTCAAGTATTATCTGACACTGCTTAAGATTAATACAGGATACAAATACAGGACTGATAGGTAAAAACGGTATTTTATTAAACATATGAAAATACCATGTTCCATAAGGCCTGAAGCTCCTCCTTCTTTCCATGCTCAGGGGCTATAGATTTCCTATCTAAAAATTTATTTTTTTCTTTAAAATATGCATCACTATTAATGTTGTTGGCATAGTACTTCACAATGACAAAAGACTTTTTTTGTTTGCTTGGAAAACCCGTTTTACTTCCAGATTAAAGGTTAGAAGTTATTGATCAGCTAAGTCAATGCAATGAAGTCTCCTATCACGAGAACCTGAAGTATGCAAGGGATTAAACATCTTTCTTCTAGATTGAGGGTGTCGGGGTGGGGGGGGCACATGGTAATGCTAAAAATGTTTGAGGCTGCAAAGATTAAATAAAGGAACATATCAATTTGGAGCCAGTGAATTACATCCAGCTGCGACAGTGAATTAAGAACCGATTAATGGCTAAAGCTTTTCTCCAGTTTGGATGCCGAAGCAAACTCATTAAGCTTTTAGAGTAGCTATAATGTGTGTACTGTGGGAACTGTTCAATGCTATTCAGGAGACTTTAACTGTAAGCTCAGAGCATTTCCCGCAGAGCTTCTGATGCTATTTTCTTTATATAACATGTGTGCCTGAAAATCCAGCCAAAAACAAGCCCTTTGTTTTTCTACTTTGTTGTGGTCTCTCTCAGCTTTACGTTTCTTGAACACAGGTAAATAAACTCATAATCCAGATGGTGCAACAGATGTGAGAGCAGCACTCTGAAATCAACAGACAGTGGGCAATACTTTCCATTTTCTCTTTTAAACGCTAACTAATATGTAATTCGGAATCTCCGGTGTAGTTAGCATCTGCTCCCTTCGGCCAGCCAAAGGTTACAGGTGTTCCTGATGTCATTTCACAGAAA